GGACAAACGCGTTCTCCAGCCACCTCCAAAACTGAGCCACGTTGGTTACCTGGTAAGTTTAACATTCAAAATTATTTTCAGTGAAAATTTGAAAACGAGAACGAACGAACATCACGACATCTTAACTGAACCCAACCTTTAAAAACGTTAAAATGTATACCCATCTCAACTCACACTTCTAGATTCAATGGTCTTTAAAGCTTTGAATCTAAACACTATTTAGGCAATAGAGGACATTTTCCACATTTGCATAGTTTCACCATGACATGAAGTGCATCAGGAGAAAGTTATGCAAGCTCTCGACTGTGTCTCGGGTTTGGATAACTTTCTTGAATTTTCCCAACCCCCTGAGTGTTTCTAAGAGGCGATTAAAATACTTGAAAAAACCCTCTGCTGCTTTGATAAATATATCTAGGAAATAAGTAAAGCAGGATTTCATAATCGTGGTTATTTACCCTAATCTAAACACACCATCTACCAATGAGAGTGTGCGTACAATCTCAAATATTTACGAAGTCATTTCAAATATTTCAGGAAGAAAAACCATAGGCATTGATTGATTGCAGGTCAACAGAAACGTACCTTGTACCTTCCAACATTGTCGAAATACTGGACTTCACTTTCTATAGCAACTCGCAGATGATATCCCTGCCTGCTTTTGTCTCCATAACAGACAGTCAATAAAAGCACGAAGAAAGTCAAAGAAAACAAGAGTTCCTTCATGAATGCATACATTTTCCTCTTGTTTTTCCTATACTTCCTTCCGTGTTCGACATCTATCGATGGAAGATCCAAATTGTTGGATGCATCCGTTAGATAACTTTTATTTGTTGACTTGCCACCACTCCTGTACCGTAATGCTAAGATTGCAGATGCAATGATTATCTTGACGGGCTGGATGACCAGCAACTCACCAGTTAAGGAAAGCAGAACAGATGTAAGCCAGCGAGACGATTTCTCTCCTCCCCACATGAGGGAGTAAAACACCGTAAAAAGGGCGGAAGTAATTGCAATACTCACACAGAGAAACCATGCGATGTATACAAAGAAATGGGGAAGTAAACACCGTCCTTCTCTCTTGCTTTTCCCCAATTGATACCGGTTACCTTGACTGTTTCTCCTAGGTTCGCTTTTACGAAACAAGAGCACAATTAGCAGACCTGCAGGCACAACAACCAAGGCACTTTCCAACGCGATGACAAGTTGACTCGGAGTCAGTGAAAAAGGTCCAATCTGTATTTTCCTCTGTTTCAGGTCCTCTGTTTCATAAAACATTGCGGATGTTACCATTGACAACAAGAGAAGGCTCCAACAACAGGATGCTCGCTGAACGCGGGTGAAAGGATTCCTTGGCTGCTTGCGGATCACCGACAGCCACAAATGGTCATGAGCGAAACCATTCCTTCGTAATGCGCTAAATTTTCTTTTGAACTTTTCGCCTTCTTTGCAATCATCTGCATAAAATCTCCTCGTGGTCTGACCGTCATCCCTTTCTAGCGCAAGCCAGCGGTTACAACTGAACAACCATCTCTGTCCCCTTTGACAATCTACAGCTAAAATCTCGCTGATAAACCAAGAAGGGTCCTTGCCAGAAATGTCATGGCCGATCTGCACAGAAATTATCTCGCCCAGCGACATTTCTTGTCGAATAAGAAAATTATCAGTGTTGCCTTCAGCAAACAGTTTTCTTTCACATGGAATGTCACATGTCAGTTTGATAACGTCACTGGTATTTTCATTCCCATGTAGAATCATGGATATATTGGCAGTAGTGCCACAATTTTTCCATCCCCCAGTTGTTATGGATACCTCGTACTTGTAATCACCGTTTTGATGCGCCGCCAAGGGTATCAGAGGACCGTCCTTAAATAGAAAAGCAAATTGAGTGAACATAATTTCCTGTTTTAAATAAATCGTCAAGCTGGACATTAAACCTCACAGAAACCATTTGCTTCAAGCTTGTCTCAAAATAATTTTTTACGAAGTGTCTTGCCTCTTAAACAAGTGTATTCTTAAATAACTATGAAAAAACACTGACAATATGTAAATCATAACGATAAGTTTCAGGATTTATTCATATTCAAACGTCCAAAATATTTGTTCAATAAGTCTGTAAAAAATCAAAATTCAATACCATATAAATTTAGTTCGTGAAACTTCTTAGTTGTTAACTGGTAAGATTTTCTGAGAAAAGAAATGATCTTCATAGATGAGCTGCATCAAACAAGTCGCTCGAAAAAAGCCGGAAATTTTTACAGGGGATCCTTTTAATCGCAGCTGACCTGCGTGGATCATTTCTTTACTTTAATTTCATCCTTAGGTCGACCTATGTTTTCTCTCACTTAACTATGATTAGGATTTTTTTTCGGATTTCGAACAAACAGCGAATGGCATCGTCATTACTTAAAATTCTTTTGGAATATTTTGGATTTGACACCAACCTTTGAGGCATCCACTTTATCGGCCATGCGCGCTTTTACCAAAACAATAACGTAGAGCAGAAATGTAGAGCACAAAGTTATCAAGACGAGAAGGTCATCAGGATCCACGTTGTCAAATGCCTGCTGGACCAGTTGAAAGTCAATGATATTTGGTGCAACAAGAATGTCTCCCCCAAATGCAGTCAAGTGATTACAGAGACATTTTAGGGAAGAATGGTTAGATTCTCGGCTCGCCTGTAAATCAATGCATTTCATTTATGGTTGTTAATATGCCTGTTAGGTTCCAATATATTTTTAGTTCAAGAGAGTATCA